GGGCAAATTTCGTTAACAAAAAAATCATGTGCACGTGTTCCTCTCCCTACTCTCTTCTATCTTGTGTTTGCTTCTCAACAGGTACACGACCTTGTTCATCCAAGGTTCAAGACGACCAGATAAGGGTCAGAACCCATTTCGTTGAACTTTAGAGCTTTAGCAATATATTAAACCTAATCCACGGATTTAGAAGACCAATCCATAACTAATCATATTTCATTCGTAGTATTTATAAAATTATTTATGTGTGACATGTGTACACATATGCCCTACTTATTAAAAATGATGACTTAGTCTTATTTAGATAGTTTTTGTAAACATACATTATTACGGGATTTACCTAGATAGAATGGCTAGGGTTGCAGTATAGCCTAGCCACAACATATATATTGTATCTCTGCTGTACAGAAACCTAAGCTGAATAAGATTGACTTTGGAAAGTTCTACCTCTCCAGTGGACTAGTCCTGATTCTCAAGGAAACCACGTAAAATCGGTGTTCTTGTCATTTCAATTTCCACTTTTTATCATGGTATCAAAGCCTCTCATCTGAGGATCTTCGAGTGCTCGTTTGGGTATTTCTTTCTCTTGCTCTCGACTGCTTTTCCGGTATTTTTCTGCTGCTTTGTTTCGTCTGCTCGGCTGCGTTTGCTTGGGTATCTTCTCAACTGCATCTTCTGTTTTGGCTGCTCTTTTATTAGTGATTGTGTATCTCGCCTATTACTTTCCTGGTGCTTTGGGTCGAAGGCTTCTCGGAATTTGAAAGGGTATTTGTGTTGGCGGCTTCTAAGTGTTGGCTGGGTATTTGCTTTGTTCTTCCTGTATCCTGGTCCTTTTTCGAGCTTCCTTTTGGCTTGTAGTTGTCTTGCTCTTCTCAGTTCTAGGTTATTTCCGGACATCTCTTTTCTTCCGTCTGCTTCATCGTGGAATCTATGAAGGCTGATTGTGTTACTACTCGGTTCAACGAGAACAACTTTTTGTTATGGGAGTTCCAATTCTGCACGTTTGTTTAGGGCACATGTATGCTGCTTATCCTGCTTGGGACTTGGCCACAGCCTGCCTCCACTTATACAAATGAATCGGCTAATTGGGAAGCCGATAATGCTCAAGTTATCACCTGGTTCATCGCTTGTATTGATATTTCCATCGGTCTTAGCTTACCTCATTTTACTACGGCTAGCGCGATGTGGAAGCACCTGACCACGATGAATTGTCAGGCTAATGCCTCTCGCCAATACAAATTGGAGATTGCTCTTGCGGGTCTTTCTTAGGAGAATATGGATATTAGGTCCTACTATCAGGTTGCTATGCATTTATGGACCGAGAGTGATCTTCTCTATGCTTCTCTCTCTAACACTCTGGCACCTGCCTTTATCATAGCTGAACACACTCGCTCCCGGACTATCCACTTCTTGATGAAGCTTTGTCTTGAATATGAGCATATTCGTGCGTCTCTCCTCCATCGGAATGTGATCGACTTGGATACCATCTTAGGTGAGCTCTATCATGAAGAAATTCATCTCAAGAGTCAGGCTCAGATCGACTCTGCATCCTCTCAGCCGGTTAATTAGTCCGCTACTTTTGCTATGTCCTCCTATAGGCCCCACCGCCCTAGTTTCATCCCTCTTTCGGCGGTCAGGGGCCTCGTGCAGCTTGTATCTGTCATTACTGTCGTGACTCGTGAGCCCGGTCACATTCAATTATTCTGCAAGAAGCGCAAGTAGTGCAATTAATGAAAGCAATCTGGTCATATTCTCAGTGATCGCCGTCAACGGGGTTGTCGTCCCCCCTCTCACTCGTCTGGTCCGCCTGCTCCTACGACTGCTTATGCTGCAACGGGGGTGCCCTTCACACTAGCCCCCTCATCGGTCTCTTCCTCCACTGGAGTTGTCTCTAAGTCAGAGCTCACTCAGCTTATTCATGCGACCCTTCAAGAGGTGATGAGTTTGGCTTTCTTTGCTGGTTCGGGTTCAGGTAATTTTAGTAAATGACTCCTTGATTCTGTTGCTTTTCATCATATGACTAACCGTGACAGCTCATTTAAATATATTCAAACGGTGAATCAACTGTTACAAGTGAATAGTGCGGTTCTTCCTATCACGGGGGTTGGCCGGGTGGAGGAAGGCTGTCATATTAAGTTTGATAATCATGGATGTGTGGTGCAGGACTCGACGACGAGGATAGAACTGGTTTGGGGTCATAAGCAGGAAAGGAATTGTGTCATGGAGAGGCTTCGAGCTACAGATCAGCGCGGTTTTGGACGGACGGAGGATACTTCCCGGGCTGCTGTCATGGCTCAAGCGGAGGACTTGGCTGCTATGGAAGATAGTTCTCGTTTCTCTTCATTTCCAGTTGTTTCTATTAAGACTTCTTTACGTCAGGATGTACGAAATTCAGTTAGGGATTTGTCGCACTGCCGTTTGGGGCATCCTCATTCTGCTCGATTATTACAAATGTTTAATCTCAATTTGTTACCTGGAAAGTTTCATACTTCCTCATTTTCTCCTCCGTCGTGCCTAAGCTGTGTTGAAGTTAAGGCTTCGCAACGTCCTTTCTCTACTAGTTCCACAGAATATGCTGCTCTATTTGATCTAGTGCATAGCGATCTGCTGGGTCCGTCGCCTGTTCCATCACGAAATGGCTTTCTCTACTTTGCTCTGTTTATTGACCATCACACTCAATATATGTGGATTTACTTTCTTCGACATAATTCAGAGTTAATCACCCATGCCCAGGACTTTATCTGGATGATTCAGACTCAGTTTCAGAAAACGATCAAGATAATTCGTTCAGATCCCAGGGGCGAGTTCAGTTCCAACAATATCCTTGCCTTCTATCGCTCTCAAGGGATTCTGAGTCAACAATCGTGTCCTGGTGTGTCCCGGCAGAATGGCGTATTTGAGAGAAAGAATCGCCACGTTCTTGAGCTCACTCGATCTCTCCTGTTTCGTTCTAGTGTTCCTGCGAGTTTTGGGTGGAAGCAGCTAATACAGTTGTATATCTTATTAATCTTCAGATTACTCCGATGCTTAGTGATGCCTCTTTGTACCAAAAGTTGTATTCTCACCCTCCTGACTATCGAGCTCTCCGCATATTTGGGTGTTTATGTTTTTTCCTTCTTCCGAAGCGGGAGTGTCACAAGTTGAGTCCTAAAACAGCACGATGTGTCTTCTTGGGGTATAATGATTGTCACAAAGGGTATTTATGCTATGATTCAGTATTTCAGCGGTTGAGGATCTCTTATCATGTACTTTTTTATTGAAAATGTGATGTATTACTATACTCCTGCAACCTCTCGTGATAAGTTCGCCTGTAGCCTATCCATTCTGGATCTCCTCGTGGCGGGTGAGGCTTCCATGCTGGGAAGGAGTCCTCATTCTCCTGATCCCTCCATCTCGACATAGGGAGGTAGTTCTTTTGATGGCAACAACTCCTCATGGACTGATAGCAGCTTCTCGTCCCATGAAAGCAGCTTCTCGTCTCACGGCAACAATTCACAATCTTCCAGCGGCGAACCTTCTTCACCTGGTATCATATTCTCATCCCAGGGCAGCAACTTGCATTTGACATCTGGCAGCAGCAGCTTGCAATCCTTGTCCAGCGGCAGCAACAAATATAGTGGCAGTAGCTCGCAAGCCTCGTTCAGCGGCAGTAGCTCGCAAGCCTCGTCCAGCGGCAATAGGGAAAATAGTGGCAGCAGCTCTTTGGACCATTTCTCGTCACCTGTGGGAAGTCAAGGCATGAATGTCGAGTTGGTTGTACCTCGCAAGTGTACTAGAGCAACGAGAGGCCAGCCACCTCCCCATCATCATGACTACGTTGCATTTACTATTGTACACATTCCTATCCCTGCAAATTATAAGCAAGCATGTGGGATTCCTGAATGGGGCGCAACTATGACAAAAGAAGTAGATGCTCTCGAGGCAAATCAGACATGGGACATTGTGCCACGTACTCCGGATATGTCAGTGGTAGGTAGTAAATGGGTTTAAAATGTTAAGAAGACACCAGATGACTCACTTGAACGGTTTAAGGCCAAGGTGGTAGCACATGAGTTCAGTCAAGAATATGGGATCGATTACGATGAGGCTTTTGCTTCGGTGGCTAAGATGCAGACAGTGAGGTGCGTTCTGGAAGTTGCGGCGATGAAGGATTGGCCTCTTGTTCAGTTAGATGTCAAGAAATTTTCTCCATGGTGATCTCAAGGAGACTATATATATATGACGTGTCCTCCTGGATACTCCAAAGGAGGTCCCAATGTTGTTTGTCGTCTCAAGCGATCAATGTATGGTCTCAAACAAGCTCCTCGAGCTTGATTTGAGAAGTTTCATGGTACGGTCATTCAGGTAGGGTTTATTTTTTTCAAAGTTAGAATGATCCTTCTCTATTCTCGAGAACGACACAGTGCACTGTATTACGATATTATTACTATATGCTGATGATATGATAATCTCTGGGAGCGATCATGAGGAGATAAAGGACCTAACTAATACTTGACATCGAGCCTTCAAACTCAAGGAATTGGGTGACATTTCTTGTTTTCTTGGGCTGGAAATCGAAAGAACAAAACATGGGATTTTTGTGGGACAAAGAAGGTATGTTCATGACTTGCTAGCTGGACATTAGTATGAGAACTGCAAACCATGTGCAACTCTCATGGAACAAAATCTTAAGCTAAGCAGATCGAGTGGAGATTTGTTGGATGATCAAAACCAACTATCGCACTATAGTTGGCAGTCTGCGATATTTGAGTTCCACTCGGCCAAACATTACTTATGCAGTACATCTTGTGAGTCAAAACATGGGGATTTCAAGGTCCATGCATTTGGATGTCGTTCACAGGATTCTGCGGTATTTACAGGGCACGGGGGATGTGGGACTTTTCTTTCCATACCAAGGTGAACCTGTTCTAGAGCTTAAGAAAAAAAGGGTTCCTTTTTCGACAGCTTAAGAAAAAAAAATGCATCAGCTTTTCTCTACTATAGTACGAGGAGAGTTAAGTCTAGCTCGACTCACCACTTTGTGGAAAATCATTAGGTATGAATATGTTAAATACCTGTGACTCGATTGGTGAAATAGTATCTCTCTCCAAAAAGGCATGTTTTTTTTTACCGCCGCACAAAGAAAAGATTTTGTTGCGAATGAACAAGATATTGAGGAATTGTCCATATGTAAAATCATAATTCTTGATACGGGCCTTTTCCACATAAAAAGGGAATCTTTTGTTACAATAGAAACAGAAGTGATGTAGATTATTCAAGAATCGAAGTCGATTTGCTTTATAAAAAGAAGATATCAATGAACTTCTATGAAATGGTTTCACGGGATTCAGCCAATTGTCTTGATCGTGGGATAGAGATCCTAACCCGTAGTCTCGGTATAAAGAACCCGTAGCCTCGGTATAAAGATGATAGGAAAGCAGGCTTGAAGGCATACATAGTTGGCTGGTTATTTCTCTTTCCTGCTCCATCTCGTGCTGCTTCGGACTCTGTTCTCATAAGACCAAGGTCGTATCGAGTTCTTCAATCCAGAAGATGCTGGTGCTGTGTCTCAAGCCGTTCATTCCTCCTAATGAATATGGATAGCAGGGATTCCTCTTGTGTGCGCACGCAGTATCTAATAAGGAAATCCGATAGAATGCTCTCATTCGCAATAGAGATGATAGATCGCTGCTTCCTGTTCACGCGGTTTAGGACGGGGATGAGACGCTAAGGTATAGGGATCGTTTGTAGATCCAATAGGTGCATATTATCATAGATAAAGATAGTAGCGTAGCGATTCATAGTTATATGTTTTATCGTTGATTTGATGAAAGCAGTTGTTTCTATAAGCCAAAGCTGTTTAATTTCTTGTTGTTGTTTAAGCACAGCAGTGAGGAGTGCCCCCAAAGGGTACTTCGAACGATGGAGCTAAGCGATAAGAATACGGAAGAGAAGAAGACTCGGTAGCAGTTCGCTTGGGGAGATCCAACCATTTGCTATGACCTCCGCCCAAAACAGTCTAGATGAGGTTCTCGAGTCACTCGAAGAAAAGGGCTAAGGAAGCTCAAAATTGGATAAAGAAGTGCGCGCTTTCGCATAGAAGTCACTGGATGTTGTAACTAACAAATCTGGATTATGTCTGTGTTCAGTGCCGGATTCACCAATGGAAGCCATTTCCCCCTTTGCTGGATAGCCTGGTTCGGGACCTCCGCTTTCAGGTTGAAATCCATTTATCTACCATACTTTGTATCGGAATGCCTCTAGTTTTGCTCTAGACAAGGTTCTTCGTGCTCTTTTAAAATAAAAGCCTGCTAGGTAGCGATTACCTGTTTCTGTTGTAGACAAAGAGACGAGATCAGCTTTCTTTCGTAAATGCTGGGACGCACTGCGTTGTAAGTATTTCCCTCGTCAAGTGACGAGATCCTGATTCTCTGCTTACCACAACTCACTTACTATGTCCCTGTCATTTGATCGTTGAAGAGTAGCAGCTTATTAAAGTGGATCATTCATACGGACAGCTATAAATATCGTATGTAGATCGAAGTTCAATCATATCTTAGAATTACCTTATTATCCCAATTTTTTTTAATACTTCCGACGATGATGATGGATTCTCGGATAAAACAATTCCAAGGGAAGGCGTGGTGGAAGAGTGCTGGTGCGCCAACAGATGCTGGGGGAAGATTCCGGCTTTACGAGTGCAGAACCCTTTCCTGTGGATGATAAAGTCCCAAGACTGAGTGATGCTTACCATTTTGTACACCCCACGCGAGCCTCTATTTATCCTTTGGACTCGAGTGATTCTTGTTTTCGGTTATTAAAACAGAACTTACTACAGCTGTTATATCTCCGAATAGTTGAGTTGCAACCATTGCTGTTGAAAACCTAAGAGAATGGAATGGAAAGTGCGCCAACCTCGGGATGGTATAGCTCGGTTATCCTCTTCAGTAAAGAATGATCGTCATATGCAGAAGCGAACTCCGGCAGCAGCTGGATCCATAGCATTCTCCTTCGAGCCAACGGTTTCGTTTACTCTTTGAAAGGGCTCCTACCCGGGCGTACCCCGAAGGGAGTTCAAGCTATATTATATTCTGGAGTAGTTCTCCTTTCTTCTTTGACAACCTGATACCTGTATGGCTCCCCTGAAATATTCTTTTTAAGCGATGGATAGATTCACAGATAACCTCCTCGTTCTTGTGTTTGAGACTGATTTGGGTCGTTCTTTGTACTACTTTCCTTGCGGCACTCGCTTGAAGGAATGGTTGAACCTCAACTGCTAGTACTAGTAAGGGCTTCGTTTATTTTAAGCACTTGTGCGATATCGAGTTGACCACCCTGATGTTGATGGTCGAATTGTAAACAGATTGACGGTAGGTTCGAATCCACATGCGTCTTTTTTTTAGGTATGCCGCTCCGCGAGCAAGGAGCGAGAGAAGGAAGTGGGCTTTGGTGATGTCGGAATTTGGTTATTTATTTGTAAATTTTTTTTCTCACCTGATTTTCTGTTTGTTTTGGCTATCAGTCGTTGAAAAAAAGCAAAAAGGAGAGATGCTCCAAAAAAGCTGGGTAAATTTTCTCCTTTCTTTATTTCGCAAAAGTTTTTCTTTCTTTCTCGTCCTACTGGCGGTAATTGCTGGATTAATTTCTATTTCAAACGGTACATATTCACATCCCGGGGGCCTCCTACAACTCCTATCTTCCCAGATAGAGGCCCTTCTTGAGGCATTTAGCACTTCAAGGGGTCGAACTGCCACTTTGGGCGGACTTGAGATTCCGCGTAGCAGCTATTCGCCGGAGAAACCTGGTCCAACGATAGGGCTAGTAAATACAATGGATCGTAATCGGCAAATGGATATTAATTATACTCCAGCCGAAAACAATCCTATCAATCTACAACTTAGGGACGGACTCCTATAAAGAACTATTACGAAAGCCCTTATAGAAATCCGAGAGCAGTATCCAACTCCGCCCCACAGTACTGACCCGGCCTTTGCTGATGCAGATGTTGCAGGATGTGTGGACACTAGGCGATCTACTTCTGGATGGTGTGTTCGATTTGGGAGTTTGTTTATATCCTAGCGCTATAAGGAACGAGACAGTTTTCGAAGTCATCTACAGAAGCGGAATACAAATCTATGTGAGAGGTGAGGTTGAACTGGTCTGGTTACAGCGAATGCTAGGAGACTTGGGCGTTACATGTAAAATGTCGATGAAGCTCTATGGTGGTAATACTACTGCAATCAGGATAGCAACCAATCCAGTACTGCATGATCGGACAAAGCATATTGAGACTAATGTTTACTACATCCGAGAATTGGTTTCAGAAGTAGTCATTCAGCTAAGTTACGTGTCAACAGATGATCAGACTGCAGACTTGTTGACAAACAGGAGTGAAGCTACACCATGGCTCGGGGGGTGGGGGGGCGAGAATTTTGAAACTAACGCATAAATTGTTCACAATTTTGGGGAAATTAGGTATAAATAAAGTACTATATACACCATATGTTTCGTATGGGAACACAATGAGTGATGTATCCTAACGGAACGACATAAAAGGTAACTAGGTTCGAACTAGGTTCGATCCTCCATGAAGTACATTAGGTTTTAGTTACAAAAATAATGAAACATGTTAGCATTGGAATGTTTTATTACTTTTTTTTGGTAATTAACTCGTTCATAGTCAAAATAACATGGTATTTTGTTCATCTTAAATCATGTTTTAAGTAAAAGTAATAGTCTTAAAAAGGTGGCTTGCGCAATTATAATGATTAAAAGTATTCGTTTTCTTCACTTTGATAAATTACTTTTTAATTTGTTTGTCTTTTGCGATAATACGAACAAATTTTTTTTGGCCCACCCGAAGTTTGGATCATGGCTCTACCTCTGTTGACAAAGGCAGTGGGCTCAAGTCGTCATTGGTATTTGTCTAACAAACTGATGTTGCGAAAGCACCATCAGTTTGAGGGCGGGTGTTAAAAGTGATGACTTAGTCTTATTTACGTAGCTTTTTGTAAACATACATTATTACGGGAGTTACCTAGATAGACTGGCTAGGGTTGCAGTATAGCCGAGCCACAACATATATATTGTATCTCTGTTGTATAGAAAACCTAAGCTGAATAAGATTGACTCTGGAGAGTTCTACCTCTCCCGTGGACTAGTCCTGATTCTCAGGGAAACCACGTAAAATCGGTGTTCTTGTCATTTCAATTACCAGTTTCATGTCAAGTACCAGTGCATCCTAATAACTCGAGTTGTTGGGAGAGATTCAATTGTGTATCACATACAACCTTTATTAACACTACTCATATTCGCCCACATGTAAATCAACCTTCCGCTACATATATAAAAGTTGGGGCGCTATAGCCTATAGGACCGCTGACCAATGGGGTGAACCAAAAGTTAATTGGCTGCCGACGGCCGTACGTGGAGGGGAGAATGATGTTTTAACGAACCATGTGAGGGCGATCTATACGACGCCCAGAAGTAGGAGTACTGTAATTAGCTTGGCCTAGTAGTTTGGTGCTGCTATGGCCGTATTCCCATTTTCGTGTCTCGTAGCTGAGCTTTACCCATCCATCGACTGCCAAATGCCCAGTGGTAGAAAGAAAGAAAGAAAGAAAAGTGGTGAAACGATTGGGGTGGTTACTGTCATTTTGTACGCAACTACCATCATCAATTTGGTTAGCCTCCTCGCCTCTTGCCAGTTGCCACCGGTAGTACTGCTCTTTTCTTTTGGATGAAAAGAAAGCAGTGGGGAAAGATAGGTTTAGAGGGTGAAAAAATACATCTAACACGAAACTATGAAATGTCACGGACAGGTTATCTTGCTTTTTGTCGCGTATCTTAACTATGCTAGCTTAGCTCCCCTCCTTTTTTCGCTTGTGGGTTTTACTTACTCGTGATTCATGTTTAGAATTCTAATCAATTTGGCGAGCTTTTCTGAGAAGTACAATGTGTGAATTAATAAGTTAGTTTTTTTTGCTGTAATTTTGAAAGTTAAATTTAAATTGTAGTTGAATGTTGATTGAGTTCCGGTGTACTTCGAGAGTATATTTGATTACTATTCCTTGTTACAAGAATCATACTACGTAATTCGGTGTAAATAGTTGAATCGTTGATTAATATTGATAGTAGGTAGTTTTTGGATAGCAAAGAATGATTATCACGATTTTTGGCATCCTCTCCCCAAAACGTTAAAATCAAGTCAGTTTGAACGATTAGCCGACTCGTTATATTAACATAACAAATAAATTGAGCTAGGGGATATGGTTAAAGGCTTAAAGTTGGCATACTCCTGAGTACAGTATACTCTAGGTGCTCAGGTCTTTGGATATACATGGATGAACTTCGATCTATCAAAACCGTAAATTATTGTTTTTCATTAAATTAATCTTGGGATGTGGGTTTAGAAAATTAGGGTATCGGGTTCACTCTTTAGAGGTTAGGGTAT